AACAACTAGGCGGAATATTTTTAAAAACAGATGGTGGGTTTAATGGTCGTTGTTTTCCATACTTGGTTTCAAAAGGTGCATCATCAGGCCAATGCAGTCGACATACTGCTGTATAGTCAGAAATAGAGAAATTTGCTCTTGGGATGACATCTCTCCATTTTTTTCTTTCCTCTGGATTTTTTGGGAATTTATATATCGATATTTTTGATTCAGTCGAGTGATAGTTTGACTTGCAGAGAGGTATGCAGCATTTTAAAGGCATCTTCTACTACTACTCAAATAACTTTATATAAGTTTAAAAATACTCAAGCCAGCGTTATGAAGTTAACTTTTACGTCTTAAAGTTGCGCTCTAACCAAACCTAACCAATCGAATTTGAAAAATCTGCTCTAAAAGCGCAAACTAAATCTTTTTTGTAAAGTTAAAAGAGGAAATGTAAACACAGTATTATAAATCGGCCTCTAGTCTGGCAACTTTATAGCGCGATGTCAAGGCCTGTTATTATAGAAGGCCATGGATTGTCCCCATACTTGACATGAATATCTTAGATGGGACCCAAAAATAGCATGATATTTATATAGCAGGGTACAGGAGGGTAATGTGGGTAATGTACCCCACCAGACATTCTTTTGTTTTTTATTTACTTGAACGAATGCGTTGTGGTGGTTTGAATCAAGCCGTTTTCAAATAGACAACATTTGAAATGTAACGGCATGTTTATTTTGTGCGTTTTAGGAGTGGTTATTAATGACTTAATCTTGAGCACGTGTAAACTAGATTTTGTTTAATAATTAAGCGCTCTGTGTTTATGAACCTGCCATCAACTGATGTTTATAGGCTTGTTTATGGATAAAATGTAGTCTATTGTGTTCATGAATTTTTAGACTGTATTCAACCAGTGTCGGATTCAGGGGAGAGTGGGATGGAGAATGCATCACCCCCTTCCTACCAGAATCTGAAAGTCCTAAAATATCTTAGAAATTGAGCACTTTTTTTTTAGGAGATTTAAATGTGGTACAAATAACAAAAATATTCAACATGCCCCAAAAAAAAATACTAGATTTGTCACTGTAGTCAACTGGTGCTAATCAACTTTCAATTGGTTGTAACCAGGTGTTTATTAGTTTTTAATCAACTAGTAAACCTGTTATATTTTATATGCAACATAATTATGCAGTTTTTATGCACATTTAAAAAAATGATCAAAATAATTTGAAAAACTGCAATGCAAGTTGTTTTTGAAACTGCCATGCACAAAATACCCATGCAGAGGTTAAGCAAATATAATCTTATGCTATTTGATATTGTTATGAAGACATTATAATGTTTTTTCATATGATGCATATATGCATCATATGAAAAAAGAACGACAAAAATTGTATAGTAAACTTTTTGCTTCAATCTCGTCACCAGATTACAAATTTATAAGTTTTTTTATTTTAAGTTTAATTACAAACTTTTCTATCTGTAAACTAAAAACTCATGCAAGTAATAAATTATTATGATTAAACAATCATACAAACAAAATACTTTTATTTTCGACTGTTCTGCAAAAACTAAGTATTTTTTAAACGTTCGTTATCTTAACCCATCTTCCCCTACTTACGTATATACACACATTCAAAAAAGCGTTAAACATTAAAAGTTCCCGGAGTAGAAAAAATTTAAAATAGCCACCTTAAACCATCTTCCCCTACTTACATATATACACACATTCAAAAAAGCGTTAAACATTAAAAGTTCCCGGAGTAATAAAAATTCAAAATAGCAATCTTAAACCATCTTCCCGTATTTACATATATACACACGTTCAAAAAAGCGTTAAACATTATAAGTTCCCGGAGTATAATTGCTTTTTGGTAACGTTGTTAACAAAAAGCCATGTTAACGCTTTTTAAAATGTTAACGTTGTTTAAAGATTGCTTAAAAAACACATAAGTCTTTAAAAAACGAAATGTTATGAGATATAAATATGAGAAACCAATAAAGTTTAATAAGTTTGAAATGTGTATTTGTTTCCTCATTTATCAAATTGATAATTTTTTTTTAAATAACATTTACAAAGTCTTTAAATACAAAAGTGTATTCACACGATCGAGTTCCTTAAGAGAAAAAGCTTTTCAACAACAAACAAAAAGTAGAAGCTCAATAACAGCTTAAAAGCAAACGGTAAACTTAACCAGGCTTTTTGTTTCGTCATCTACTGCAACAGTGTCATCAAAATTTTTGATATCAAAAAAAAGAGTCAACGTTAACGTTTCTGAAAAGCACTTGTTTGTCAACTGGAAATAGCAGCAGCCCAAACCAACAAGGCAAAAATTGCGACAACCAACCCATAAGTGTTTTCCCACAATTAACAACTCACCTTTATCCAATTTACAAAAAAATGTTTTCAAACCGTCACTAATCTACGTCTACACTAACACCACACCCCCTTCCCTCCCAATAATAAACTTATCGAACATCGAATATTTCCTAATTAGCTGGTTCTGTAACTATCATCCACTCCTAATTAGCTGGTTCTGTAACTATTAAACTCTTCCAAGTTGATTAGTTTAATCTATTTAAAATAAATATGCCAATGAATGCAGCCAAATCTTCTGCGACAGCTATATTGAATGCTGCTACAAATTCATTATTTGCACCCCCTCCAAACCAAACAAAGGAGGCAACCTGGACTGATCAGCGAATTTCTCTTGCTAACCAAACGCAAGAGAGATATTTGGTACCTCAACCACAATAGCAAATGGCAAATTGCTTATCTTGTCAGAAAAAAAATCTCACTCCAAACCTCCCAAAAAAAGTTTCCTGCTATGCAATTAGAGAGTTCAAACACAAAATAGCCGAAGAAAAATGGAATCTTATACTTTTCTACGCTTATGTTAACCGCGAACTCACCGTTAACGCTGACGTGTTTACCCTCTGAGGAAATAATCAGCGACCGAGCATTCATCGCTGGTATACAAAACGATCAATTCCAATCAGTATTCACGGTTGAACCGTCGGATTAACCTTTACCACTTTTCATCACACGTACAACCGTTTTAATCTCCTCCTTTATCTTTCACTGCAATTTTAATTTTAGACGCTCTCCATTGCTTCTGTTTCATGCTAAATAATAAAAAAAATGGTAAAAGACAAGATTGTGCAGGACCTTGTTGACAACGCAGACTTATTGACAACGCAGCTCTATCAATAAAAAAGCTTGCGTCAGGAATCTGTTCGAGACCATTCACTTTCTAACCTACAGTGTTTTTTATAAGTTTTCATGATAATTTTTTACAAAGTCCCTCACAGAAGACTTTCTACAAAGTCCCTCACAGAAGACTTTCTACAAAGTCCCTCACAGAAGACAAAAACTTAAATCCTACGGAATTTTAATTAACATTCTTTACTGGGTTAGAGTTTTTTTTCAAATATATGGCGTTCTTCTCGGTAAACTTTATCCAACTGGGAACAAGTTACCAGCGGCGTTCCGCAAAATTCAGTGCTAGGTCCTAAGTTTCATAATTTTCATCAATGACTTACTAAACACATCAGTAATGAATGCATTTGTAAAATATTCGCAGACGACAATTATTATAACATTACGATCTTTTACCATACTTTTAGGACTGTGTTAATAAACTTACTTATCTTTAACTGTGTTAATAAACTTTCTTATCTTTAACTGTGTTAATAAACTTTCTTATCTTTAACTGTGTTAATAAACTTTTGTTTACACATCAATGATTGGCAAAATTATTCAGAAACAAATTGAGTTAAGGAAAAAAGTTGAATTTTTTTTGCGAAAATCCATCAAATTCATATTGCTTGATTGCTAAAACGTACAAATATCCCAAAATCTACAATTATAGATATTATAAATAAGTATAAGACTGCTCAAACCTTCGAAAGAAAAACTGGACGTGGAAGAAAGAAAACTTTCCATTAACCCAAAAACCTAAAGGCGACTCTCAGTTCAATAGCAAAAAATCCTAACCAGCAACACCGAGATCTAGCAAGAAAATATAAGACTTTGCGTTCTTATATCAAAAAAGTACCTAAAAATGCTAGAATTAAAGCATTTTATAAGAAAATACACCTAAGTGAAGCTTAATAGTGAAATTAAAAAAATTCGACACCCAAAGAAGTTAGTTTAAAAAATGGTGGATAAAAGTATGTAGATCATTGAAGACGATAAATATATTGTAAGGCAGATTTTTACAACTTTCTGGTCGACAATTTTACTATGAGAACAAAGATAAACCAATTGATGATTAATTTAAGTATATTTGACGAGAAAAATTTGCATCCAATTTTCTTGTGTGGCAAGCAATTTGTAACTGTGGTATGCTGTCATTTTTTTTTTGTCTCTAAGAAGACTTTGACTGCCGATTAAGCTCGGACGAATTTTGAATTCGACTCAACTAAATTCGAGGTCAATTTCGAATTCAAATTTTGTCAAATTTGAGATCTGAATTTGAATTCGATTTTTAATTTCGAATTCTGATTAATTCGATACAAATTTGATAATATTTGAAATTCAAATTTGAGTTTCGAATTTTATCAAATTTGGAATAGAATTAAAATAGAGTCTAAAAAACATTTTCTTAAGCAATTATAAAATAACTCCATGCGCTGCAACAAAATGAGCTTTGTAATAAAATTCTAAAACATTATTGGCTGATTCTATTTTTGTGCGCAAAACTATGCTTTTATTGGGCGATACAGAAAAATTGAACACTTTCAAACGTATATGTTACAATGAAAAACTTGTAATTTAATGAAAAGATTGCGTGATCAACTAAAAAATTTAACACAACGACTTTTATACTCATTCAAATGAATTATGCGATTTCCTTCGTGCGTAAATAATGTCCAAGGGAATTGTAGTGTTGCAATCATTATTACATCTCCAAAGAGAAAATCGTATATAATTGTCCATCGGGAATTGTAAATGTTACAATCGTTACATTATAAATAAAAGCACTTATAATTTTACTTATTGAAAAGACGAGTTCAATTTTTAACTAAAATTAAGCTAAAATCAAGTCAACATGGTTAAAAAAACTCACCAATTATGGTGTTATTTTGCAAAAATCCAAGCTCTTAACGAAGAGGACAAGAGTAATCCCAAGGTAATTTGTCAGATCAAAGTGCCCGCAGGGACAGGACCAATTTGTGGAAAGGTTCTGTCCACACCTAACTCTAGCTCCATGAGAACTCATATTAGGTCTTTACATCCGGAACAGGCCAGAGCAGTTATTTCATTCGAGGCAGCATGGTATCAAAAAAGACTAAATGATACTAAGAAGCTTGATAAATTATACAACCAAGTGGAGAAAATAACTTCTAACAAGAAAAAAGACCAATCTGACCACTCAGATTCAACTCTCTCTAATTCCGGAACTGATGTCGATGCTTCACAAAGTAAGATCAAATTTTGACTAAAATCGATTTTAAAATAAGATAGCAATCTTTACCAAATTTTAGAACTTAAAATGAAATGGTTTTGATTTTCTATTGTTAATATAAATAGTTATTGTTTAATATACCCATTTGGTATCATTAAATTGTTTAAATTAGGTGTCGTTTACCCCAACAAAAGACAAACCAGAAAGAAACTTTTTCGGAAGTTGCCAATTGGTGGTAGGGCCTCATTTGTCACAACCACACCACCATATTTTCAGAGGATTGTCAAGCACAATGTCAGGTCACCTGTCCAGTTAAAATTTGATTTGGCTGTGATGAAGTACTTAGCAGGCAGTAATCTTGCCTTCAACCATGTCAATGAGGCAGCATTTCGAAACTTTGTCAAATACTTGGATCCAAAGTTCCACGTGAAGTCCGCCAGAAGTATGGTTAGAGCAAAATTTTCTCTTCTCAACCGATTGGTCAAGGAGGCAGTGACGAACAAGATTGTAACAGATCTAAAAGACAATGCCGTTGGTGTTGCTTTCACAACTGATTTGTGGTCATCAAAGTAAGTCATTTGAAAAAATTAATAGTACGTTAATAATTGGATTTTGTTAATTTTTTTACAGGAGAGGGAAATAACATCTGGTGTTCACTCCGGGGCCCTAGGTAAAATCAATTTTTGGCGCCCTAAAAAAGGTTTTGCAAAAGTTTTTCGTCATAATCAAAAACTAAATCAAATTTTTTATTTTTCAGGGATTTTCATGGGCTCCATAGGCTCTAAATTTTTGCAATATTCTTCTTCATTATTTTTTTCGTTCGTTCGATTAGGATTGAATTTAAACATTGCCACAATTCTTACACCACTCTTCAGCATTTATGCAACAATAAAAATTGAAATCATAATGGGAGAAAAAGAATTAAATGTAACTAACACAAATATTACGCTATGTGCATATAACTGTCAAAGCTTTAAATCGAACTCATATTATATTTCTAAGTTGTTAAAGTCTTTCGATATTATTTTTATATCAGAACATTGGCTTTTAAATATTGAGAGTTTTTTGTTAAATAACATTGCATTACTAACACACAAAGTTTTTTTTCATGCGGCAGAAAAAAATACACACGGTAGACCATATGGAGGAAATGCTTTTATGGTACGAAAAAAATTGTCATCTTTTTACATAATACATGAAGATGAAAACATTCTTGCTATTAAAGGCACACTTAACAATCGTAACTTAATTTTTATTGGTGTTTACCTTTCATCTTGTCGTAATAATAACGAATCATACGCAAAATACTCTTCTCAGTTACAAACAATCACTTCAATAATGAACAACTATGAGGATGAAGGAGAATGTATTATTTCCGGAGACTTTCAGTCATTTCCATATAAAATATATGATTCAGAGCTTCGTAAAAACAAAACTAGGAACAATTTCTCAAAACATCTCACTAATTTTATTGAATCAAATCAGCTCGCTTTTGTCGATATAATCAACGGTGCTGGGCCTACTTATACCTATCAACATAAAACTCTTTCTAACTCTTCTTACATTGACCATATTGCATCCTATAAACAGACAGAACTATGTTTTACAAACTGTCAAGTTATGCAATCTTCACCGCTTAACCTTAGTGATCACCTTCCGGTGTCTACGAATATTAACTTTGAAGGTACCGGCTTATCACACGAAATAAATAATATAATGCAAAAATATAATTCAATACCAAAACATGCATGGAATAACGAAAGGTTTATTGACTTTTATAATCTCAATCTATCAAAAGCATTTACTAGTTACGCATTTAAGGAAGATAAAATAGAAGAAGAAATTCAAAAAACATGCTTATATATAAAAAATGCAGCTCTCTTGGCAGTTAAACAATGTTTCGGACAAAAAGAATTTTATAAGTACTCGAAACCTTGGTGGACACCTGAGCTTAAAAAAATTAAAGATAATCTCTCCTTTCACTTTAGACAATGGCAAAAATCAGGCTATAATAAGTCAACAGAATGTATATCCTACAAAAGATTTATTTATTCCCGAAAAAACTTTCGTAAAGCTGTAAAAGCGGCACATAACAAAAAAATTCACGAAAAAACTAAAAATATAGAACACTTACGCAATACAAATCCTCAAAGGTTTTGGGGTAATATTCGAAAAATCAAAAAAAATACTAACAATCGACTCTTTACAATTAATAAATTGCAGAACAAAAACGAAATCGTCGAAGAATTTAGTCATCATTTCCAAAAACTACTTAATACACCGCAATATACAAATAACGAGTTCAATCCTCTCCAAATTCCACATTTAAGTAAAGAGCCTAATTCAAAAATTATCTCGACAGCTGATATTGAAAAATGTATTTTAAAGCTTAAAAATAATAAATCTTACGATTGCTATGAAATCAGTGCTGAACATCTTAAAAACTCTCACAACAAGAATCTTCTTATTTTACTTTCGTCGTTTTATAACAATATGTTAACAAATGGAAAGGTTCCACACGGTTTATCAACCGCCAAAATTATCCCATTAGTCAAGTCTTATAAAACATCACTAGAAAATCCAAATAACTATCGAGGAATCAGCATTATACCAATTTTTACAAAACTTCTCGAATATCTTATCATACACATATGTCCAGATATAACAGAAAGTCATTCCCATCAATTCGGTTTTAAAGAAAACAGCTCTACCCTCCACGCAGAATTTCTTCTGAGTGAAACAATAAAGCACTATAATCATAATAACTCACCGCTATATATATGCAGTCTAGACGCCAACAAAGCTTTTGACAGTTGTAATTGGGAATTACTATTCGAGAAACTCTATTACCAGAAAAAAATCCCATTATCTATAGTTCATACAATATTAATACTATATCAAACAGGAACTTCTAATATATCATATCTTGGATGTACATCAAACAAATTTAGGCTGTCTCAGGGAGTGCGTCAAGGATCCATACTGTCGCCTCATCTCTACAATATCTACACAGAGAACCTTCTAGAGAAAATTGTTTCAGAATCAAAAGTTGGAACTTCAATAAATGGTGTATACACAGGTATCATTGCATATGCTGATGATATAGTTTTACAAAGTTCCACTATATCTGGTCTTCAGAGCCTTATTAACATTGTTCAAAAGTATGGACTATCGAACTTTATTAAACTGAATACAGAAAAAACTGAATTTCTAATATCTGGAATAAGTTCGATTTTAATTAACGTTATTTATATTAACGGTGATCCTATCAAGCCTCAAAACAATCTAAAACATCTTGGTTTCCTTTGGGATAATAAGAACAAAAAAATGACAGCAACACTCCAAAAACAAAATATAACTGAACGTGTAACGCAATTTTTATCTGTTGCAAAAGGTCTTATAAGAAATGGACTTCGCTTTTGCCAGCCTGCTACCATAGTTCATTTATTTAAGTCTTTAGCTGTTCCAACGTTGTTATACGGATTAGAACTGTGTGGAAGCAGCAATAAGTTTCTAAATAGCATTGATATAGCTGGACGATCTGTCTTAAAATCCTTCTTTAATATTTCAAAGCAAAGTAGAAATTATCTACATTCTTATTTCAAAGTAGACGCTGTGTCAGACATTCTTTTTCGCAACAAGTTAAATCTATTTATCAGGCTTTTAAACAACCCCATATGTTACTCGATTATACGGACTCAGATGCCTTTAATGAATCAACGATCATTTGTGGGTGAGGTAATGATAATGTGTAAGAAAGCTGATATAAACATGCTCCAATTTATGATCGAGGGTAAGAAAATTATAATTGCACGCCCTCAGGAAGCATTGGAGGCCAATGTTGCGGCGATCTTAAAACAATCGTTCCAACACTGGAATTTAAAGGAACAAAGAGAAGTATTTAGAACGCTGATGGAGGAAAACATTCCAAGAACGATGCAAGAAAATACTTAAATGTGCTTTGTTTTTTTTTTTTTTAATACTTTTACCTATAGTTTATGTAATTATTGGGTGTTTAAAAGAATAAATATATATAAAACTAAAAATTTTTATTCCATTTACATAAATTTTTTTTGTTTTAAATAACTATTTACTTTTTTTTTTTAACTTATATAGATAAGTTTCAATTTACTAAATATCCAAAGCAATGATAGTTTGTATATAAAAAGAGAAATGATAATTTTTTTAAATTCGTGGGGCCCAAGGCCGCAGCCTAGTTGAACTATAGGTAAATCCGGTCTTGTGATTAACATAGAATGAACTGATAGTAATAAAGTTTGATATAAAATTTATTTTCTTGTTTAGAAACTTCAATCCATTCCTTGGTTTGACACTTCACTATAACTCAAAGAACTGGACCCTAGAGAAGCTGCTGGTGTATTGTGGAAGTGCAAAGGGTAGACATGCATCTCAAAACATTGCTGAACTTCTTGACAATGCAATTAGTGAGATTGTAGGCCTTCCATCAAATGTCCACAAGACCTGCACAAGTGATAATGCAGCTAATATGCTAGCAGCCATCCCAAAACTGACAGAAGAAATTCAGGAGGGCCTTGGGTGTGTTGACCATATACTTAACCTTGTGGTGACTGAGTGTCTCGGCATCCCTGAAGTAAAGAATGCTGTTGATGCATTCAAGAAATTGTCATCCAGAACTCACAAAAGCAGCATTGGTCAACAGAGGATTAAGAAAGAGTGTGCCAGGATAAACAATCAATCTAAGGATGATAAAAACATTGAAACTGGTAATTCATTTCTTTAAACTTTCAAAGTTTTTCAATTTTAAGTTTGGATTGTACATTTATTATATGTATATATTTTATTATATTTATTACATATTATTTATTTATGTTTATACTTAGTTATTATATAAATATATATATATTATATATTAAATTTGTTTATAACGTGCCGGAATAAGACTTTTGTTGTTGGCCCGGAGCTATTTAAAAAAAGTGGCTCTTTTTATGGCAAAGTTGCACTCTATGAAATCTAAACAAGTTTCTTAAAAAAAGCTCAGCTAAAAAGGTTTGGGTTTCTAAATGTGCTGGGTTTAGGACTTTATTCTTCTAGCCCCTTAACCAATTTCTGATATTATTGTACATTGTATAGTATAAGAAAATTAAACTCACGATTTAAAAGAAGTTGGTTTTGGTATAACCTAGTTTGACTAGTTTTAAACCAAAATTTTACCAATAATTCTTTTAGTTGAATTTGTCAAAATCATTGCACCTGTTGAAACCCGCTGGAATTCCATCTTGATGATGATGCGATCCATTTTAAAGTTGAGGCCAGCTCTTGAGAGGATTAGAGAGGACTTCAGCAAGGGAACTGATCCCAAGATAAGAGAAAAAATCCCTACATCAGAGGAATTTGAACAGGTGAATGAGTTAGATTTTTTTCTGAATTATTAAAATTCGTTATTCCCGTTAATTCCGAATATTAAAAATAGTTCTTAAATTAATTTTCTTTTTTACTTTTTTTGAATAGTTTTTTTTGAGTATTTAGTTATTGAGTATCAGGCATCCTATCTCAGGGGAGTAAGGATGATCTTACGGCATTAAAAGGGGACT